AGCAGATTAAGAAGCTGTGTGGTTAACTAATTATGTTTGTTTAAATGGCATTTTGGAGAAGACGCAACTAAAAATGCCAATGTCATTACTCAGAAGTTGCAAATCCTTGCAACTTATTTCTTTTTTACTTCAATGAGCAGTGATTGCAGATGGGTAGCAAAACATGACCAAAGTGTATAAAAACTGAAAATTAACCAACCAGCCAATTTTCTAAAAGTGAAAATTAGCTGCACTTTCTCCAAACCTGTGCATAATCTAAGAAATTATAGAACTGTAAAAGGCACTATAGTCACAAAAAAACATAATTACTTTAATACATCAATTTTACAGTCTTAAAGACACAGAGAAACATTTTAATTCCCATACCTGTAAGCTGGTGTTGAGGCAGTTTCCAGATACTGGTGGCTTGGAGCATGCATAAAGGGGCTGAGCCTCGGGCTGGTGGGCACAAACACAAGAGGACTGGTCGACCCACTCCCCAGAGAGTGAAGGCTGCCATCAGACGGTGGTCCCTGGGTGTCCAGAGGAGCAGAGAAGTAGCCAGTGGTAGAGTGGCTGTAAAGAGGCGTTGGGGCAGGGGTGGGGGTGGCATAGTCGTACGTCCCTTCCAGGAAGTCAACAACAGCTACCCCTCCGGAGCCCCGGCTCTCTTCAGGGTACATGTCACTGAGGGGGGTACGGGGTGAGGGTGGGAGACGTGGTGAGGAGAGGGTCTCCAGCTCTGAGGAGGCTGGGCTTATCCTGGGTCTGAGTGCTGGTCCGAACTCCTGCTTGCTCTGCACCGGGTTCTGCCTGAGCAACATCACAGCACAGCAGCAGTGATAAGCAACATGATTTAGACTTGCTCTCCCATTTGCTGTGTGGGAGAGCGTAGTGCTGCTCTCCCTCTCTCTGGGTCTCGTCTTTTCCAATAAGTCCTGTCAAACAACTTGGATGGACCAATAACTGCTTCTCCTCTGTGTGCTTGAAGCTTCTGCTCTCAAGCTCCAAAGGAACAACAAAAAAAATACAGCTAGAAAGACTCCTCCCAATCTCACTTTATTTTTTCAGTTTTTTTTTGTGACTCTAATAGATCTCTACCAAAGTGTGGGAGTGAGGGAAAGCAAGTGGGAGAGAGGAAAAAAGGAATGACAAAAATAAAAGTAGTGATTCCTAAACAACTTCCTTGTCTTTTTTTCCTCCCCACAGCTATTTCTAATTTACCTTTGTCTGAGATTGAAAAGCTCTTTATTCCTTACAGCTGGATTCCAGATTGACTGTAATTCCAAAGTAGCGGCGTGTGTGTGTCTGAATATTCACCCCTCATTTACCTGATATCGAGCACTTTGCAAGTATCACCAGTCTATTTCCTGCCAAATTATTACCCAAAAAACACAATCACTGGCTAAATCACAGAGCAAATCAGATACATGTAGACTAAACATTCAAACTGCAGAAAAAGCTAAAACTACCACAAGATGTAACTCACCTCTTATACATGAATCATCCTCGGATATGCTGCGCAGCAGCGATTAATTCCCCTTTTCTTCCTCTCTGCCTGTCTCACAGGCATTTAGGTGGGCTCACCGTATTCGGTAGAAACAGTGGAAAGGTTTAAAAACGGATAAACAAATTAAAGATGCAGCCAAATCAATAAATGCTGTGTGTTTAAGAGCCAGGTCACCATAACACAGCAAACAAAACTGGAGGTCAAATCTCATTCTGACAGCCAATTACACAATCAATCCCATTCAAGGGTATTTTTCATGATTTAGACATAAAAAAAGGTTAAAAAAAATAAAGTATAAAATAAAAATATTCTCCACATATTTATGTCAATTGGATTTATTCATGTACATTTGAAACCATAAGTTTATAAACTATATTAAAAATTAGACAACTTTGTGTCCCCTATTTGTCTGAAATCAGATCCTGTTTTAGGTCAGTTAGGATAATCTAAATTATTCATATTGTTACAAGCCTAAAAAATTAGACATTTCCCAGAGTTTATGTACATTTCCTCTTTTATCATAAAGTTAATTTGTAATTGATTGGGTGGTGAACTTGCGGTCATGACTCACCGGGAAGACTCCTTTGTGTCTAGGTTTTTATTTCCTGGCTGATGTTGCTTCAATGTTTTATCTTAATGTTTGTTCCTCATAATGCCATCAATTTTGAAAAGTGCATCAGCTCCTCAGGATCAAAACGGTGACACAATGATGCTGTCACGTGCCGTCCTTATTCTTCAGTTTGAATGGCGTTCACAGGTTCGCAACCTTCCGTTTCCCTCATTACGCAACAACTGACATTATGATCAAACACTTTTGTTTCAACAGATCAGAGGACATGTTTCCAAAGTCAATGAGAAAATTTGTTATCAAAATTTTTTTTTCTTTATAATTATTCTTTTTGAGTGGCCTTTCAGCCCCTACTAGCCCAGGATTCATTTCACTGTAAATAATGAAACTTATCAGTTTTCACCTGTATCTTCACATGTATTTTTGATTTTGTGCTAAGGTCTACTGGCGTTCATACATCATGAATCAGCCTTACTTTACAAGGCTGTAACATCACAAAGAGCCTTCCTAAATTGCATAAAGTAATCTTAGTGTAAAACCTGAATTTGAATTAATTGATTAAAAAATTTTAAATGAAATGTCTTTCATTCTAGCATTTGGCAAACAAAACATTTTGGTAAAATAAATAAAAACAATAGTAATGTGTTGTTTTTTTCACTGTAAATTATCTATTTTCAACTGCATCTTATGTCCAAAAGAGAAATTGAAGGGTTTGCTCCCTAAATGTTCTGGCGTCAGATGTCAAGGTAAGTATTGCACCTGAGTGCAAATACATAAAAAAGACGAGTCAAGGCAGCTTAGAGAAATGTAATTGCCCTCTACAACAGGCTTTTAATCTGCAAAAATATAAGATACTGTCAATCAAATATATATTGTTCAAGAACATAAATGAGAAGTTCATTCTTTTTCAATTCATATTTAAGGAAACAATGAAGACCATGTTGACAAAGTTTGACACAGAGCCCTCATCTCAATTTTTAAGGAGCATATTTCTTGACTTACCCTTCCGATTTTTATGACAGGTCAAGTGGAAAACTAGCAGGTTTGATAATACATATTTTTGTGCAATTGCCCTGGAGTAAAATTAAGACACCAGGAAACGCTAAGGGTGGGAAATAAAACAGCCACAGTAAACGACCTGAAAGGCAAAGATAAGTGACTTCTTGCGGTAATTGAACCTATTTTCATCTAAGGTCTCACTGACAAAGCGGACCATTTATCTTTTAAAGAACATCAATTGTAATGCACATCTTAGCAGCAATGAAAGGTCAACAGGTGAGCAACAAACTGATGTGACACTCAATATTGAATGTGAACTTTCCATGTGCATCGATTCAAGTATGAGAAAGAATTGACCCCTTCAATTAATTATAGCAAAAATGCAGTAAATATGTTTCAGATTATTAAACACATTTTATTCTCTCACCAAAATGAATACAAAAATCGTTTTTAAAAGATGACTATCCAAACTAACCTGGCCCTATGTGGAAAGTTAATAGCATCCCTTTTAAAGTCATGATTAACCACATTCTTTCGAAAACTGAATTCAATTTCCTTAGCTACACCCAGCTCAGATTACTACAAATGGAGCCATTACTGAATCATTATCGGGAAATTTTTCATTATTATATGAACCCACCACAATAGCAAACATTACGGTCAGGATTGCGATTATTTTTTTTTATCTATTAGTTCCATCAGAAAATAACTATTTGAAAACATGAAAAAATGCAATTAATGTGCACTTCATTTTTAACACTAAATCTTCACTACTCAACATGAATTACAGTTGCATATTGGATAATGGTGTCTAAATATTGTATATGGTGTGATGACACCCATCAGTAATTGCCAATAAAATAATACATTGACTTTTTAAATCCTGATCACTTACCTTTATTGCAATAAAAAAATGTTGTTCACCCCTAATTGTCAGACCAGTAGAACTAGGAGATGACTTAAATGTTTCAGGAAACACAGACTTACCAAAATTACTCCAAGAGTACATCAACAAATCATTCAGGAGTTCACAAAATAAGCCAGATCAACATCAGCACATTAGCTAAAAAAAACAACATTTGGAAAAATATTCTGTAAACTAGAAGGAAGCTTTCTTCAAGCTGTGTGTTCTGTTGTATCAGGGTTAAAATTATCAGCATTTCCAAAGAGAACATGCTGTTCAAACACTGCAGTGCAGCTTTGATGTCTTGTGGTTGATTTGTTGTTCAGAAGTTGGAAAGGCTGTCGTGATTCATAGATTAATTCTGCTCTCTACCAGAAAGCCCTAATTGGGAATGTCTTATCCATTTGCAAGCCTAAACTCACTTCAATCATGCAGCATGACAATGACTTTAAGGATTTGGAGCGGTTTAGTAAAAGTCTGAATCCCAATTCAATGATGTTGTAGCATGTAACATTTCATTTATGCTGGGAAAAAAAAATAGCAAGATTGGACCAAAATTCCTCTTGTAAAAATTTCATGACCAGTTATTGCAAATATTTATAAGGTTAAGGTGGTAATTACTTTTTCACAAGGGGCCAGACTGTTGAGTTTATTTTTTCTTTAATAAATAAAATAATTTCAAAAATGCCATTTGTAATTACTCAGGTTATATTTGATGGCCCTATACATTTGAATGACATAAAAAGAAAGAAGTTAATGAAAAATCAAAGACTTATTAGGATTCTAATAAAATTTTTCTGGTTTTATTTACCATTATTCCAGTCAACACTTTAACATCTCTGGAAAAAAATTCTTCATTATCTCAATGTTTAATTTATGTTCTCAGTAAAGGAACACAAAAAAAATATTTTTTGCATTAATTTATTAAATAAGACCTGAAAATAAATCACTTTGCTCCAGGAACCCATTTAAGAAGTAAAGAGGTTTTGTTTTTTTCCTCCAAAATAGAAGCAGCACATTAAAGTCATAACACTCCTACATCATCTCATTGCCCACTTTTATTACCACCAACATTTATTCCACAGAGGAAAGTAACCTTCCACAGTGCCAGATCAGTTAAATAATTTTGTTGTTTTGCAATTTGTGATGAATTAAAAAGAAAAAAATCACAAATAACCATTTTAATACCACCAATGTTTCAGTTTCAGGTTACATTTAATAAACCCAAACTATAATTTTAGCTTTTCTATTCTATTCTGCATAAACTGTAAACATTCTGACTTAATTCAAAGTGTAGGATTCACAAGTTATCTGTAATGTAAACCTAATGTGAGATATTAGCAATGTAGACAAATGTACAACCACCGGCAGCTATCGTTCAACTTATAAGCAATTTGTTAAACAATTACAACATTTTAAATATTAGATGGCATTGATATATATTCAGTCTGTTCTTGTGCATTTTGTGAACAAGTTTGAAGTCCTTAAAAAGAAACTTTAATAACTTTGTTTTTTTATGGCTTAATGGCAGCACCTAATTTTGATGCTCTCTTACAGTAAAATCTGATAAAGTCCAGTCATCCCAGTCTAATCCTGAGTTCAGGCTTACTACTCCAACCTGGGGCTGTGGAACTGAATAACAGCGTACTTCCCATTGGTCATCCATGATGGGTCTTCGGTGCTCAGGTTCTCCCCCTGTCCTGGCTGCAGACCAACCTGCACATTGGCTTTGAGGGTTCTCAAACTGCATAGTGGTGCAGGCTCAAAACCTCTCAGTGCAGTAGAGAAATCCACCGTGTGGCCCCAGTCCCTGTCCCCAGTCAGCTTCCTGTAGTTGAGATCGCCTTTAAATAGCACCAGGTCTGCTTCCTGCAGGGTTGAGTATAAGTCGGGAGCATCAACTGCCATGTCGCAGAATTCGTGGGGCTGAGTCCAGAAAGGATGGTCGTGATAGCTCCAAATACCCTCATCAAGATAGCTCTGCCACTGGTAGCCACTCCGACTCATCCATTTATGATTGGCTGCCATAGTCTGCCGGATGGTCCACTGAAAGTCATTAGCTGTGACGTCAGAGACGAACCACGGGAAGCATTTGCCGTGAAAATGAATGTGACGCGCGAGACCCGAAGACACCAGAAAATCTGCTAAGACTAAGTCAGTGACCAGCTCAAAGCCAGCATTGTCAAGCACAATGTCAACTCTGTCTGCAGTTTTGCTCCCTGACCCCTCTGGCCTTCTTGACAAATTAAGAGTGAACCATACCATGTTGGAATCATTCACCAAGATGAAAGACTGTAAGCTGTTGAGGGATTCTATTGGACTAGCCTTCTGGGAGTTCTCTTGACCAGCAGAGATGGAAAGATCACACTTGTTCCCCCAAAGAGAAACCTAGAGGAAGTCAAACACAAAAAACCATAAAACTATGTGATCCTTTTTCTTCTCAATCATTGCTGTGATTCTTTGTAAACGTTACATTATTTTACCAGAGGAAAAAAAAAACTCTTCGGTATACAATATTTAGGATACCAGTACAGCCTAAATGCCGCACAGAGGGATTACATTTATCTATTCAAACAACACAACCATGTTAACATTATAAAAGATTTCTTCATTTTAAAATGATTTATAAAATAGTGTGAAAAAAATTGTGATATGCTTCACATTTAGAATACTTTGTTGAGTTAAGATGCAGGTATAATTCAAAGCTGGGTGACCGTTACATTTACTTTTTGGTCATTTCTTTTCTGTAAATATTTAATGATCATACATTTACATATTCTAATGGGACTCATTCTCCTGTTAAATCAACCCTATGTGTTCCCTCTTACTCTGCAGAGCACTCAATACTGACCTGGAGCAGTTTGTTGAAATATTCAGACAACTGGTTCTCTGACAGCTTCTCCATGCTCTTCTGAATGTCTCCCAGGTAAGTACACAATGCCATCACAGCCTGCTGAGACTCAAAAAAACTTTGGGTCTTTCCCTCATTAAAGACATCAAAGTTGTTTATTGGAGGACTGAAAAGAAACATGAAAACAATCAAAAGGAAATTTACTTCTAAATAAAATAAAATATAGCTAAATGCACAACATAAAGGTGTGTACATGGTTTTAGTCTTAAGGGAAAATACCCATTTTAAATAAAACCTTGTTAAAGATACACTTCTTTCATGACAAAGAACTTTGTATTATGTAACATCAACGTTTTGGATTTATCCCCATAAAAAAACCGTAATAAGCTTATTGAATGACGGAGGCAATGTACAATAAATGTACAAGTTCAAGAAATAATGAATGACAATTTAAAACCTCATATTTTTTTTATTTTTTAAGGGTTGGAATAGATTATATAATTCAAGACATATCCTGGAACTATAGAAAATCTCTAAAATATGCTAAATATTTCTTTTTTGATTTTAGTATAGTGAAAATGTGTTGAGTCCTATTTAATGGCTTGGGAGAAATTCTTCTTGTCAGCAGGATTTTGGTGTGTCCATTAACAATAAAATATCCATTAATATATCATCCTCGCTAGTTTTGATTTCACAGAACCTTGAACTTGTATTGTATTAATCTATTCCCACTAATAATTTGTTGGCTTTTGAAAGTACTTTCAACCACCAAAATTGTTAAAACAACCAACATTGACCACATTTCTACAGAAATACAGTTAAGCCAAATAATAACTCTGGATATTTTTTTTTAAATAAAAGAGATATGGATGATACTACTTATGTTTCCTTATCAATAAAAACATTTCAGAAACAATTATACCATCAAAAGACTTATGTAAAAAAAAAAAAAAAAAGATGTACATTCTACTCACTTAAGCCAGATTGCCTCTTGTATCCTCCTATACATGTAGCATTCCACATACAACCAGGGTGACTTAAACCAGCTAACAAGCTCCTGGTCACCCAGCTGTCTCTGCTGTCTCTGCATGTACTGGTTCCAGGACTCTGTGTCTGACAAGCCATCTGTCAATTCCAGTAGTGGCTTATCGGTTTGTAGCTCATTCCTCAGCTTAGACAGTAGAGATATTGCTTGTTTCTCCGCACTGATCCCCTCCTTTTCAAAGGAGAAAAGGAGGGGAGAATAAACTTCTAAAACAACCCCTATTAAACATTGAAAATTAACTGAACAAAAACATTTCTTACCTCTCCATGTTCCTCAAAAAACTTGTTTTTGTTGCGATGTATTGTGTCTATAGCTTTAGTCAAAATGGTTGGCATTCTGTCTCTTATTGTCAAATAAGCAAATGACCTAAAGAAAAAAAAGACACAAGTTACTCACAGAATAAGATGCTGAATAGAGAGCCATTCATCTACATTTACTCTCCTCTAATCAACAACACTTAATAAAATTGGACACATTTTTTCTAATCTAGATAAGACTATAAATATAAATATAAAGACTATAAATCAACTATAGTTCTTAAAACTATATTTAATTGTAAAAGCCCCAAAAGATTTTAACAATATTTCTGGGCTTCTTAATCACCTTACATGCAGTAAAGCTTGAGGATCACTATACACAGGCAAGTGAAACCTAGACAGAATTATTGTACACATAGGTTCTATAAAATACAATTTTAAGTTCATTTAACCGTTTTGTTAGGTGTGATAACTGAAAAAAATGCAATTAATAGCTTACGAGGGATGCAGATTGAGAGATTACCATCTATAAATGCTAATACAGACAGAATAGTCCAACACTGTTGAAATATTATGAAACTGTTTTTAATTGTGAAACCTCCCTTCAAATTTTGAAATTTGTGAGGCGAGACTGCCTTACATAGTGTCCAACAGTCTTGAAACTACCCATGACAAAAGGTGAAGGAAACAAATTGGCTAATTATTTGATAGCATATTAGTACGTATACTTGCTACAATAAGTCAAACCTCCAATGTTGAAGCTGAATTAATTAAATGTGATGCTTGTCTATAAATGCAGACAGCGAGCAGCTCGAAAATGTAATGTGTTAGCATTGAGCCACCGGTACTGACTGGGACTCTGCTATTATTTGACTATTGGTTAAATATGTCATTGGATTTTCCTACATTGTAAAAAACCCGAGAAAGTCATTAAGTTAGCCATCAACATACCCCGTCACTTTGGCAGACAGTGAAGGAGGAACTCCGTGGCCAATTTGACCCGCCGCCATTGTTGTTGCAGAGGTAAGCGATTCAAATGCAAACTTTATTGACAACAATTACATGGACATTGCCAAAGTGACCAACTGAAACTTGTGAACAAGTTTTTTGCTTGTCTTTTAGAAATAACCAGTAACAACCTTAAGCATCATTCTTTCCAGATTTTTTTAAAAAGAAGAATTTGATATGTTTATATTGCTGTAGAGTCGTAGTGTTACGCTTGTTTTGATTTAGTTGTGATGCTGCCATCTAGCGGCTAAAAATAGACTGCAACTTCGACACTTACTCAAAGACGACGTTGCCCTCACACTAACAGCAGGTTTTTAGTTATTGTTTTAAAATATGTTTGCTTTCGGGATGTCTCTTTTTGGAATTTTTACCCCACTGCGCATGTCAAGTTTGTTGTCTCTGAACTCTGCCAGAGCATCCTGGGTTGCCTGGAGCGACAGTTGTCATGGAGATATCGATTCGCCCTTTCAGAACAGGCCAGAATTCGAACCCCCCTGGGGTCAAATTAATGGATGCCAACTGCCGTTAAACTCTAAAAAGAACAAGGGGAGAGGGCCCCCCACGCTATCCCCAAGCACAAACCCCCACTCCCCAGGGCTCTTTGGCGGGAAAATAGGAGGATTTAAGAGGCTATCTACTGGGAAATACATTATTCTTAAGTGAGTTTCAGTTAAGCAGACAAATTAAATATTAATAGCATAATATATGAGTGTGTAAGAGGAACAGAATATAGTTAACATCACATGTGAATTCTGTTATCTTAGCTTGTAATTCTGTGTTTAAGTGAGTTGGTGGAACTTGAAAGAGAAATGTAAATGTGCTGTATTGCCTGTTGTGATATAAAACAGCTAACCTGTAAAATAAAGACTTGGAAGAGCATTAGATTTAAGCCAAGAGGTCATATGAGGGATTGAAGGTTTGGATACAGGATTGGGCTTCCTCCAAGTTTGAAGGACATACCCAAGTGATTGGCCACAGTCACATTTTACAGGCTGCAAAGATCCATCCATTAATCCTGGCCATGTTTTTCCCCCTCTCTCAAATCACTATAGGAACAAGCAGGCCCGTCGTCAGGATGCTCAGGGTCCCTGAAAGCAGGAGTCCAGCTGCGTCCACCTCCGGTGTTCATCCACCACAGCCCTCCCATCCCCCCGCCGGGGCCTTGCCTGGCCGGATCTGTTTTTCTAAACCGAGAGAGGAGTGACTCACCACTCCGGTTTTAAAACAGGCCAAGGACGAGGGGGAGGGCAGCACCACACGTTAAAAAGCCCTGTTTAAGCGGGCCGCTTTCAGCTCAGCACAGATGCACCAGACCTGCTGGTTTTGCTGTCTGGAAAACTGTGCACTGGCACAAATGTGGCATTAAAGTGTTTGTTGCAGAGTATGTTGTTGATTTAAAAATCCATTACTGCAAGGCAAATCAGTTTAACGGAGATCAGAGATGGGGCAGTCATGTGAAGGTCCAGTCAGCATCTTTTCAGAAAAAGCTGTTCTAAGAAAGAAACAGGAAGAATTACTGAAGAGATGCCGTATGAGCAAAGACGTGCAAAACTAAAACTAGTGATTACAATGTATTGATCTTTGTGACAAAACAGTAAGGTGACCAGGCGATAACACAGATAACAGTTTATCTGCTTTTTTCAACGAACTCCTGCTGATGGCCTTTCAGCAAATGAAATATCTGTCCTTTTCCCCTCCTACTGCTTCACTAGTGGTCTCTGTCAATGTTTTGTTGATAACGGGTATATATTATTTTATTTTAGGGTTCTATGCATGATATTGTAAACCTTTTTATATTAGCAGAGTAGAAGCTGGAAAGGTCCTTATGAGTTCTGCTTCACAGGCTTTCTCCCCCCTCCTCTATCACCATGTCCATTTACATAGAGTCTCCGCCCAACCTCCTCCTGCAGTGCATGCATTTTTACTAAGCTAGAACTTGTTTAGTGTGGTTCTTTTTCTATTAGGTAGAAATACTTTCAAAGTTCTGGGGGAAAAAAAGGCTGTTTACGTTGTGACAACCTCAACCAACTTACTGATGACAACATCTGATGACAAAATATTGACACAAATCCAAAGTGCAGTTGTGAGAAGGTCCTCCTACACTTCCTGTGCCTCAGAATAGGCAACATGTGTGGTTTAGCTGAAGTTCTGTTCTTTGACACTCCTTTCCTCTGCTGAAACCTCTTGCGGTGAAAAGGTGAATTTCTCACAGATGTAGTAATTTCACTGTTTATAGCAGTCAATATTCAGTCAATATTTTTATCACTGCCGGTTTTCACACTAGAGTGAGTTATTTTCAAATTTTGTTGAAACATGAAATAATCATAATTTCTTGTAATAACCATCATGTCTGCATTAATTAAGCTTTTAAAATCACATTTACTAAAACTACCAACACCCAAATCAATATTCATATAATTTGTGTGATTTTGATTGATATGCAGTAATGCTTCACATGTTTTATAAGCTTCACAATTGAATCATTTGAATGTAAAAAAAACCCTAATAAAAATAAATAAGAATTTAAAATAAAGTACATACATGTGAAAGAATTGTACTCATTTGTTATATCATACCTTCTTTTAGATATGTTCTCACATAAGGTTACTTGTGTTATTTTTAATAATGTATATTTCACCTTATTACATATTTTACTTTGAAAAAGTTTCACATTTAATTTTTCAACTACTATTTAAGGGAAAATGATTTAAAACTTTTCTTTTTGACCCTTTTGTGACCAAAATTATACATAGTAGAACTATAGAATTGTGACAGATTTTTATGTACTCTTTGTTGCTTTTGCGCTTTTTTAAAACTTATTACATATGATGTATTTTAATTTTATGTGTTTTGTGTCAACTTTTATTCACTAATATTTGTTTGTCGAGTAATTATTTTGTACTGCAACTAGGTCAGTCTTGTTGTTTTCACAGTGGTTTATAAATAAAGAATCGTGGTTAAAATAAAAATGAAATGATTGATGAGTTCTGCTGCTTTGTTGAAACAACTTCAGTTTTCAGTTTCTCACATTTATTTATTATTACTGTATTTATGCAACTGTGCAATAACAGTTCAGAAATCACAACAAAAATGCATGCCGAATTCCATTTGCAATGACGGGATTGTAGTAAGGTTAAACAGAATCCACAACTAGTAGGTATTAGTTAGCATTAGCAGTTTATTCATAATTAAATAACATCAGAATTGGTCACATTTCAAACAAGCAAGTTAGATCCCAAAGAAAAATGGAAATGGGTTATAGTCAGAAAAAGCTGGAAAGGTACGTCTACTAATAGTCTTACAACTTTTTATTGTTAAGGGTATTTTAACCATCTATTAAAACTTTAAATAAATATTTATGCTCTGTAATCTTAAATATCAGGCAATATTTTTATGCCAGTAGTGAAATTTAAATCTGAGACACAACATATGCTGATTTTGCTATTTAAAAACATATACAAATTTAGTTTAGAAGAAAATACTAAAATATCAAAGCTGTAATCTGGGTTACCTAACTTCATAACTTAATATTTTTGTTCAATAGATTAATGGATAAATAATATGTAGATAAAAGTGAGTTTGTAATGTACATTTTAAAAATGTTCTGATGTAGCTGGGACATATTAATTCAACCACCACTCTATTGTTATATATAGGCGTTGTTGCCGCTATACTCTGTGACTCTAGCGGTTGTCGCCGGCTGTCAGAGAAAGAAACAGAAAAAAAATGGTTCGCAGGGCTTGGTGCCACGACGGTTACACAGTGCGGGAAATTAACGTTAACTCAACCGCCCCTTCAACGGATTTTTACAACGGCTGCTTTTTTTCCCTCATCTCTCCCTGCTCTCTCTCTCTCTCTCTGACTGTTTTCTTCTTTCGCCCCACTCGCAAGTCATGTGATTGTAACGTAAAACCCCTAACCGGAAAACACCGACGGACGACCCTCCGCCGCCAACGAATGCTGCGTTTACAAGGAACACAGTTGAAGCTGCAGCGAGCGCAGAGAGGACGGACGGCTGCGTCTCCGGTAGCAAACAAACAAGGGCGATACGGAGGAACTCCGGTGATTTCAGTAGAGCGCAAGTACGTTTTCCTAGCAGTACATTCATATATGTTCGTTTAGCTAACACTGGTTCGTTATTTTTGCGGTTCGGTTTGTTTCTGGCTAACTGTAATTGTCACGGGGAAGTTAAAAGAAACGCGTTCGTGACCAGCCCCATCCCCCTTGCGTCTCGCGCTGTCTGTTCCTACGAGCGCGCGCGGGCGTTCGTGCACGTGTGTCCGTTTTCTCGCGCTGGCAACCACGGGAGACCGACGGAGTCCTCTTGTTTTAATGTGCTCCCCCACGATTATTCTTAGTGTGATTTTGCTGACATATTTTGTTTACCAGGTAGAACTGCGTCATGTTTACCTTTCTCACACGCTTTCCTCTCAGGCGGTTCACTGTGTCTTTTCAGAGTAACCGAACGTCTCAGTACGGAAGCGACAGTTCCACGTGTCTACATCACAGCAGGGGCGGTGCTAGATCTTTACAAACAAGTGGGCAAAGACATGGCATTGTGGCAGCTTACTAGTGTCATTTAAGGCAACTGTAGTAGTCCTAATAAATTATGTGATCAGGCGCATATAGCAATTTAGTAGTATTTTATTGTACTTGCATTTTCTAGCCAAATATGCCCAAAATAAATATGTCACGACTTCAGAAACCTTTTGTATTGTGTTTATATTGATAATCCTGTAATAACAATATAATTTTTAATCAAATCAGCAGCAAAGACTTTTAGGCCTAACTCAGGGTTTCTCATGTGTTGCTGAAATAAAGTTTTACCTTAATAAAGTAAAACTGCTAACTCAGTAATGACTAAAAATGTCCCTTTTGAGTGGAATAAATTTAAACATGCTTGTTGTTTATTTGTCCATGTATTAGTTTGCATGTTTTGTTCTAATTTGTCTTGTTAGCACTGTTGCTCTGAACAACAAAGTTCTCTGGGCGCGATTCCTAACAGGGCCTTTCTTTCTGCATGCAGTTTGTACGTTCACTTTATT